TTAAAGATTCAAATTTCTGAAAAAATTATTTATCTGTCTCGTGCTAAGATTCGAACCCAGGAATTCAAATTAAACACCAAATTTAGTGACCCACATCTTATCATTGAGCTATCAAAGCACATTTGGTTCATAATTATCACTTCACAAAGGAAACAACTTAAGAATTCCTTCCTTCATGTAAAAGTTCCAAATAATCAAAAATACATTAATTAATCCGAAAACACACAAATTTAAATTTATCGAATGATTCGTCATGCCATCAATATACTGCTCTGACAAGTGCAACGTTCCTTGTCACAAAAACGAAAATTTGAAACAAAAAAATTTTTAAAGCATTAAATTCAGCGACCTTCATACTGTGCGAGTAACAAAAAAAAGAAGATACAAAAGATAAATAAAATTGCAAATTAAAACAAAATACAAAAGCGATGACGTGTGAGACGTTAAGGCACAAAGAAAAGCAAAAAACAGCTGGAAAAAGTATGAGTACGAAGAAAAAGTAAAAATGTTAAAGACGAATGACTGCAAGGAAAAAATCAGTGTAGAGAAAATTATGAAACGAACATCCACTTAAGAGATTCAAGAGAAGTGCCTTAATTAATTGCATGAAATTTCTCTCATCTCTAACACTCGAGCAGATTGAGATTCCTCACAAAATATAAATATATATATATATATATATATATAATAGTCTGGTGACTATTGTTGCTCATATATCATCAAATCATTAACTTCGTCTTGAGTATCCCGGATGGCATAGACTTTGTGTTAGTTGTGGTCGTAAAGCGACTGTTTGGTGCCGTTAGACTGTCTTTTTGTTGAGTGAATAACGATTTATGACAGGTTTCTTGTAATGCAGTAGTGTGTGATCTGTAGAATATTGACGCTGTGGAGAATGTACATGTGATTTGTATTAGTTGTCGATATAGGGAATTGGCTGTTATAAGCTGACGAGAGGGGTTAGTAAAGAGTTTTGTCTCTTGGAGGCTCCACGCGAATAGTTGAAAACATTTTAAGGCTTACTTCCAGAGTGTGAGTCAATTCCTAGGTATATTCAAGGGTAAAAACGTGGATGTGGTTTGAGGATCCTCTTAGAAACACTTAAAGCTATTCCCTAGGTCCAGTGTCATAAGCTCTTCATCTTATGGTTAACATAACCTTTTGAATTTATTTCCTCAAGCTATTATACCGAGCAGCTATCCCCAGTCAGACTCTTTAGATATCTCTTAAAGTAGATCACTTCATCCCACTCATCCACAGATTAATCATCCACAACACATGAAAATCAAGTTAAATTAACCATCATAATCCACCAATTAGTCATCATAAGAAATTGAATCTCCGCAGCGAATCAAGGAAACTTAATCGACATTAATTGAGTGTGTTGAAGCGTAAGAATTAATCGCTAATAAGAAGCCTCAAAAATAAATCAGATTTGTTTATTTGCCGGCGATTTTTGTTAATAAGAAAATACTTCAAAACGTAAATGATTGATTGATTGTGGAAGGTTTACTTAATCCGTTCAATTGAAGCCAATTGAGATTGATTATTTTTATCTAATCAGCGGTAAATCACACAATCAGCAAGTTGTTCAGTTTTTTTTTTCGGTGTTTATTCCGGTAGAAAATGAAGAGTTTGCATAAATACCAAGCACAGTTGAAGGATTAGGGGTGGGCTTGAAGAAGGCGGTGAATAGGGGAAGGGGGGGGGGGTCAAATGAATATTTTTGGATGATCCTGAAAACAATCGATGGATCTTAATATCTTCATATAAAAAATCGCATATCCCCCGTTTCAGCCCCTTAAAGCCATCAGGTGTGCTAGTAACTCATTTATATGAAATATACCTCCTTTTCATCTTTTTCCGACAGCAATATTTTTTGCACCCACGCAAAAAAAGTAGGAATAAATGTGTAAAGAGCGAAATTACACAGCTTATATACATGCACAAATGAATATGTATAGTGGACTTCCCCAAATTAGTTTCGCTTTTCACACATATATTTTTAAACATCAATGAAAAAAAATAACTTTTTCTTCCTCATGCTGTAAATTATAAGATGATGATATGAAAAATATAATTGACACGAAATATCAGTCATAACAAATTTTTTTATTAAGTTTTATTATTTTATCTTGTCAGAACATCAAAAACCGCGCAAGACGATTAGGGAAAAACATCGACGTGAGGCAATTTTCTTGACCCCGAACAAGAAATCTGTTCTTGCACATCTTGCTCATCTTGCTTAAAAAATAAATATTTATGCAAGCAACAACGATAAAACTGAGCTGTATATTCATCATAAAATGAACGGCAATTGGGATATAAAAAGTTTATTAATTAATTTGCTCACTACTCATTGCTTATTGTACATTACTCATGCATTTAAATGAGAAAATGAGAAAGTTTATGATCACAAATGGAAGTTTAATTTGGCCACCTGGCATCCAGGTGGTTGGTAATATATGTTAATTGACTTTCGATTTATTGGGGCAATTATTGTGAAGTTTGATGAAATTTATGGTTTATGATGGGGTTGAGCCCTTCCAGCCACTTAATTTTTGTGGAATAATCGCTTGATTGTAAAAGATTATAAAAATGTTAGCTCAGAGTATTGAATATATGGAAGCTAGTCAGGGTGTATGCACTCATGATGGCTGTTATTAAGATGAATTAATGATTAGGGTAATATTTAGAAGCAGATCCAAGGAATTTGTCTCAACCAATCGTATTCAGGAATTGGTTTCTTGAGATTACGCTAGCATGTTCATAGACTCAGTGATACTCAAACAATGGTACATTACTGTGATATGGCTCATATCAGGTCAGATGTGACTATTACTCAAACCGTTCCTAAGCTATACCGAAACCCAACCTAATCCATAATTGATCTACATCTAATGTTCACTTGACTGATCCTTGAACAACTTCTAATCTCCACCTGGCCCACTTGACCCACCTAACGTTCATTTACAAAATAACGCGAAAAAAACGAATTCCCGAGTGACAATTTGTGGCAGTGGCGGTACTGAGACTGCCACCACACTACAATGAAAAGATTCAGGCGGTTGTAAGGCAGTTTCAATTGTAACTTATAGGATAAATGTCGTTTGAGATTGTCACAAAATTTGTATGAAGAAAAATTTCTTCTTTTTAAACTTACAAAAAAATCTCAGACCCCCTTTAAAGCGTTGCGTGATAAGTGAACGGCCCAAAATCTCTTCTTTGTGTTGCGAAATTCAAAATTGAAGGCAGCAAATTTAGGTTTAATGGAGAATCACTGACTGATTAAAGTTTATTCTTGGTTAGGACTAAAGTAGCTATACCTCAGTTATATTTGAGGTAAAACCGAGAAACTGGCTGCAGAGTGTCTTCATTAGAACCTTCTCAAAACCTTTGAGAAGAGGATTAAAGAGATTCAGTGGACTGACACTTTTAATAAAATAATCTAGCTAAATTTAAATGTCATCAACTATGTAGCATCAAGCAAAGTCCTCAAAATAATTCAAACTCCATTCCTCGATCAAGCATCAACAAGTTTCATGAACTGACTAAGGGGTCGTTCACTTATGACGTCCGAATTTAACGGGTCATTTTTCATAAAAGAACAATGGAATTTCTATTGATCTTTTCTTGCTGACCCCCCCCCCCCCCCCTGGACGTCATAAGTGAACGGCCCCTAATCCCAATAATTATTTTTTTTCCAAATGATGACAAACAAAGTCACAACATTATTATCAAAACAAATTTGATTAACGGATGGCTCACATGCGCATCTCCATTGCGTGATCAAACATTTTCTGGAACCTTTGAAAAAAAAAAGTTTCACAAAAATAAAAACATTTTATTTACTTATCTGTTCAGCAATCGAATGAACAAACAAAAATTTGAAGATAATTTTTAAGCAAAGAGAAAAAAAAATTGCTCGTACTTGATTTAAATTGGCAGAATTAATTATTGAAACATCTGAGATCCAACAAAAAAAAAATATATAAAATTGAGATGTTATTTCCATCAAAAAGAGAATTGAGATTGAAATAAAGTAAATAAATTCGAGAAATTCGTAAATGATGAGTGTATCAGTTCTCGTTAGTATAAACACATCATACGAGATAGTTGAATGAGCTCACAAACTTAATTGCCTTAGAAATTCCAAAAAAAAAAGGTTTAATGGCAAAAAAGTAACTCTTTAATGATCAACAATGTTGATTATGTGCAATAGTGTTATAGACATAGACAGCAAACTGTTTTGCATCATCATCATGTACATCTGCTCGTTGTGGTTCTCATCAACTCATTATCACTGCCAATACACTTATCATCGACGGCAAACAGTTTCTTTATTGACAAGATATCTTACTTGTATAATTATGCATATTAATTATGTCATTTTTTGCATTGATATAATGAGTTGCTAAGTACGTGACGATAGTGAATTGATGAGGATGTCATAATAGACATGCAATGTCAATGCCTCATGTAGATGATTTCTGTCTCCGTTCTTCTTCTTTCACTTGCATATTCTGATTATGTTATTATGCTGAGTCGGGGTTGGAGGTTGAGTTTTTTGATCAGAGCGGGAATTTGGGGTATCGATTCATGTGTAGACGGATCTTTCAGTGCGTGCGTAAGGTCTTTGTGGTCGAATGGTTAGGTAACAGATTGGATATTTAAAAAAGTCTTTTAGATGAATTTGTGGGTTCGATTCCCATCAGAAGCCGATCTAGAACTTAGGCTAATCAAACCTATCCTATCAAAATGGGAGAGAGTACTTACAACTTACTACGACTTAAACTCCAACCCTGATACTTTCAACAACCATCAAGTAGATTTTGTCTCAATATTTGTCTTATTATCTTCACTTCTATGCCTCTGAATCCTCATTCTCTCTTTACACTTCTCAAGAATCTTAAGATACATACAATAATGATAAGTTCATGCAAACGTATAGTGAACATAAGTACATAAATGAAATAAGGAACAGAACCTCAAAATATTCGCAGTGAATTAACAATTTATAGTGATAAGACAAAAAGTGATAAAATAAATAACAAATGAATAGTATAGTTGCTGCTACAGTTCCGCGAATAATAATCACAGATGATGATAATGAGAATGATTATAAAGTTGAGCAGGAAGAATCAGAAGATGAAGAACTTCTCGCTCGACGAAATAGAATTTTACAAAGACGACAAATTGCTCAACAAAATACACTTAGGTTTGATTGATGAAGATTATCTTGAAGTAAAATGACTAACAATGATTAATTGAATAAATTTATTTTTCCTTACTTTTTCTGTTACAATTGAGGAAGCTTACACTAATCCTTTCCGCAGTTGGCAAGAATTAACATGGAAAATATTTTGCTTTATTTAACAACTTGATTAATACTAATTGTAAGTTTTTGATACTTAACACTTAATCTCATTAACTTGTAGGCGATAATCATCAAAATCATATTTTTTTATGGCAGGATTCCTTTGTTCTTGAGTACGTACTTATAGATGTAAGTGGAAAAAATTGAAAAGTCGTAAAAATATTTTCATGGGGTTTGAAGAGTTTTTTGATTTTTATCTTTGTGGAATTAAGGAAGGTGTAAATTCCGTTTTCTGCTGTTGTAAAAATTTTTAGATGATTTTATAACCCTTTGCTACGTGATTACAGCAGTTTTAAACAGAATTTAATATTAGACAATAAAAACTGAATCAAATAGCTCGCTATATTCTAAAATATTGATACTTAAGCTATGTTCAGTCACAAACTATAGTTAAGTGTGGCATAATTTGAACAGATTGAGAACTCCTGCTTTATAAGGATCCAATTATAAACGAATTAGGCACCAATTGGCTATATCCTAGGGGCTAGTTTTCTAGAAAGGTGTCACGCGCAGCCCTAGAATCGGCCTATGGACCTATGGGGTATATTCTTGTCTATTATGTAGACCAACCCATGTGCCACAGAATTTTTTTTTTAAACACAAACCGCACGCCATGTCATAACTTACTTCCCTAGTCTATACCAATGATTAGATATTCACTAAGGTAAACTTAACAAATGGTTTTTGAGGTCTAGTGCACCTTTCGAAGTTAACTTTTAAGATTTTGTTTGAAATTCTTGAGTCAAGTCAACTTCATGCAGGCTTAATTTATCTCCCAAAAAACAAATTGGTCTAAAACTCGACAATTTCAAACGACAGCTCTTAAAGAATTCCTTAAAACCTTAAAGTTTTCACAAAAATAATTAATTTCATCATCTCAGTTCCCAAACATCCCACAAAAAAAAAATTCTGAATAATTTTCGAAAATTAATGCAAAATTAATGCTTAATCATTCAAGAATATTCATGACTTTTCCGATCAATAAATTTCCACAGTCACTGATAACAAAAACAACGATTGAAAATTAATTCCCCTTATAGCTGTATTAGCATCAGCAACCCTAAATAGCTATATTAATTTCTATTTATAGCCACAAAAAAGTTTCACAACCCAAATCAAGGCCAATAAATTTCTTTTTCTATCAAAAAAACACCGAATGTGATTGAATTTCATGAATAAAGTTATTTTAACTCAACATACTCATTATTTAATTCTAGAAAACATTATAATTACTTTGCTAACGTTACAACTTCCTTTTTGTGTACTTTATAACTTGCCAAGTAACTGGTACTAATGATTACTAATGAAAATCATGAGAAGAAAAACTACATAAATTAATTAAAAAGTGGAAATTTCCTGATGTGAATGGCATGCGAAAATGTAAAGTTTTCTTCAACAAGGGGGACAACAACATGATGGGGACAAAGTTTGAATCTTTAATTCCCTCAACTGTGATGCTATTTTAAAATAAAACTTTTGAAAAAATTCCGTTAAAACATTTCCCCATGATGTTGTTGTCCCCTTAGCTTCTCTACAACACTGAAAAATCAAGTTAGACCATCAAGTACTTTTGCAGCAATTGAATCAAATTTATGACTCAGTTTTGAATGTTTACAGAGCAGAAAAACAAATTTTTGTAGTCATTCAATCGTCATTCTGTCTGTCAACAGTCACCATTAAGTGATTAATTCTCTTTTTATGTGCTACTCTGTTTGCTGTTTGGCACCGAATTTATTCTCGGACTTTTATTTAACAATTCTTTATGAAATGACACTTAAAATATTGGTTTTTATTGTTTGACACAAAAATATACATTTGTTATTGCACATGTCATTATGGTTGAGAAAATATTGCTTTTTGAGGTATCGACGGAATCTGGTTGATTGCAAGTTGATGTCTTTTTTTGATATTTAATTAGAGGTTTCATAACCTGTGGTATTGAGTCGCACATTGTTTAATTAATTGTTTTCAAGAATTGATTCTTATAGCTACGAAATGGAATTGAATAAAATTGCAAACTATTATTGGATTCTGGATCCTGCTTGAATTTGGATCAGTTTTTGTTAGATTTTCAAATTATGCATTAACTATCCATTCGTAAAATGAAAACAGGCTACCCAGGGCACCCTTCTCTAGAATCTAAAATCGATATATTTCATTTTGGGATAGTAATAAAACTGAACTGTGACTAGGGCAGAAGGCTTAGTCTTAATGTGAATGAGGAAAAGAAAAAAAGAGGGGTTCCTACACGATGCGACGAGTTGGAGGTACAGTTGACTAGCGTAGAAGACCCAAGTAGTCCTTAAATTGGAGTCAAAAGAGTAGCAAGGGATGGGGGTCTAAAGTATTGCTAATGTTCTTCTAATAAATCGTAGCCCCACTTTTCACATCTTATCTCACTAAATGCTATGGCTATCCCTTAATAGTGACTATAAAAATATGATGAACATTGAAAACTTCCCAAAAAATTCATCCAAACGCCCTCCCTACAAGTGAAAAAACACAAAAATTTCAATATTGTATATAAAATATGTTCATTGTGATACACAGAGTGCGGCCAAAGATGAATAGTGTATACAATCACAGATGAATCTCATTCATGAATAAAATAAAATAAAATTGATCATTGTATTCAATAAACTAGCACTAAAAACTTCTAGCGTTAATAACAATTCATTTTTAAAAAGCGAAATTTGTTCAATAATAAAATTCACATCACACAGCGCCACCATGTATAATAGTCCACAAGGACTTGTTGCTAAAAATATGCACAGACTCGTGGCGGGAATTGAAATAAATAAATTTAATAATAGCAATTTAAAATATTTATAGAAAAATTTCATTTTACGATTGATTTTTTTTTTCATCTCTCTGTTTCTATTTTTTTCATTCTGCATCTGTGAACGGAAACTTTGTATCAACACAACAAAAAAGTGCTAGAGAGATAAAGCCACATACAAATTGAAATTCACTTAACTTTTTTTCCTTCCTGCACAAACTATTCATATAAACACACTGATTCACTCTCTTTTTATGCTAAGTTTCGAAAAACTTTTTCTTTCAGTTCCTGTTTGGAAAATCTGAGAATCCTCATCTCCGAGAACAATAACGGAATTCAACAGGTTATCTCACTCATAGCATCTAATTTATGATCCTACCTCAGACTATAAAAACTTTTCAGTTTGCCATCGTTTGCCTCATAAATTTTAAAAATATTCTCTTCTTCTTCTTCATCGTCGTCTCTTGTTCCTGCTCAATTTCTCGTGTTTTTTTTTTTCTATTTTTTATGAAGCAGAAGGAATATTGAATGAGCATTTTTCAATACTTTGGAAGATCTACTTGTACTTTGATATATGAATCAAGTTCAAGGCTTCCGAGAGCCATTTTTCATAATGTTCTACTCTACTTAATCTTATTAACTGCTATAACTGCGGGAATAATTTATCGTGCAATAAATAATCCATTTAATTCCAACATCAAAATCATGTGGCTTTTTTTTCTTTTCTATGAGCGATTGAATGATTAGTGGGTTACAGGGTTGAGGATATAGCTTTGAAATGCTTAGAATTTGAACTTTTTTGGCCTTAATTTCCTGAAAAATGATAGGATTCGAACTGATTCAAGTTACCACACTAAGTATGAGTCAATCACCTGCCTGACTACTCTACAGACGCACTTAATTGTTTAACTAGCATCTTAGTATTAGCTCAACACTATGTTTCTGAGTCTTACATTTGCAAGCTAGTCCAGAAATTTGATTTACCAGCACTGCTACTAACCCAACCCTGATAACATGTTGACATAAACTACCATGCTTCCTTCTTTCTCCTTTACTTTCCCTACAAATTGAAACATAAAAAATTTAACAGTCCATAAAAAGTTGCAATTTAAAATTCCCGATGCCTGACTGTCTAGCTAGTAAACTTGTAGCACTACAAAGTGCAAGTATGTCCATAAAATTTAATAACATACATTAAATGATTGCAATTTCCATGCAATAAAAAAGCTTTTATATAGCATGGAAGTTGACTTACTGCTCATCATCAATCATGTTTTTTTTTTTCGTCTAGCAATAAATTCAAGATAAAAGTGATGATCTTATGCATATATGCTCTACAAAATGTCATGCTGAGACAAAATAAAAGTTCATTGGATGAAACAAATTTGAAAAAGGGAAAGATTGCTTGATATTCGGGAGGATGTTCCTTGATATCAACTCGAAATTCTTTTTAAATGCAAATTTAATTTCACAACCATTGTTCAGAAAAGACATTCCTCGTCATATGCCATGTGCTGCATAAATTCATTCGTTTGAATAAAAAATGGCAAGAAAACCATAAAATTCAAATCATCTCACGATAGTTCTACTTATGATACAGCATGCTTGATGTTGATGATGATGATGATATTGTGGATTGAGATAGTTCTCTTGTCTTTTCATCGTCAGCCATGAAAATTATTCAAAAATTCTTCTTTATGTCATGAATGTCTCACATGAAACATTCACGAGGAGCTTCATAAATGCTCAACTAAATCTAAATTAAATTTATATTACCTTTCTCATATTTCTCAGTTTTGTCATGATAGAGGTAATAATGCAATAATATGGTAAGGAAGTAGATCAACCTGAATTAATTTAAATTTTAATCAGTTGACGAGAAATATTTTTGAAATTGGAAAATTTATAAAGGATGGAAAATGGGAGCGAATTTATATGAAGGTATTAAAGCTGAAGTGGCTTGGTGGCGGAATGGTTTAGTACTTCGGTACATAAATATTGCAATACCGACACAGCGATCATGGGTTCGAGACTGGGTATGGGAAATTTTTCACTTATCCTT